AGATGTTTGTGGCAAATTACTGTAAGCCTAGTCGTTTTCAACTAAAAAAGTTGATACTCTCCGTGACCTAATTACTACCAATTTGTTTTCATTTGTCGGGTTAGGAAACGAATAATGGTCGAAATTATGAGATCACGAGATTAGTTTTGTGATGTTCAATATCCATAGTTGACATTGCTTTAAACGATTAAGAACTCAGATTTAATTTCCGTTAGTTGAGTTTTGAAATCAACTCTTCGAAAGATATTCCAGTGTACTATATTGAGATTGAGATATTGAATAACCCAAATACTAAATACATCTATCATCATCGCAACGTTCGAATCAAGCCTTGGAAAATATTAGGTCTACCATAATGATCGAAATAAGAAATTCATCTCTTTTCAAGAAATCGGCTCATTTAGCCCATTGAATTTGAACGATAATTATGCAAAACGAAAAATACCAATTATGATTTTCATTTTGAATTCTAGATTTACGAGTTTTTAAAATGAAAACTAGGTTGTGTTACACAATTCTCCAATAGACTGGCTTAGCTTTGTATATTGTTGCTAAGGTCAAAACTACCGCGAAAGGTACGTAAACTTGCGTGTTTGTAGAATTATTGTCTCTGTTCTCATAGTTTAGTTAAGTTTGATTGGCATTTCGAAAATCTCCAATACCGCGTGTCGGGCAGATACTACTGTTAGCGTATGTAAGGTGGACGCCATGCGTATCCAACGCTGAGCGTACGATAATCCGTGGGACGTAACCAGCGTAATGTCCAGACTTGGCGATTAACGAACGCTAGCCTAAGTATTTGCGCCTGTTTACATCTAGGCGTATTGTGAGTGGTCAATTCCTGGCACACGACTCGATTAACATTACGATGTGTCTGAACTAGGCGAATTTATTCGCGCGAATCGACAGTGTCGGTTCCCATCCTTAGCTCTGATTGTTTGCGCAACTTTTGCCTGGCAAATCTGAAAGAAACCATCGAATATTGTATGATTTATACTTCATATGGGTAATAAATTCGCTACTAGTATCTTCGAGAAAAAACTTTTGTGCCCCTACCAAGTAGGCATACATAGAAAATAACGGTAGAAAACCCATGAGGGGACTGTGGTTTCTAAGCAAGCTGACATACCTAACGTTCGCCAACCGTTTATAATAACGTTTTATGTTTGCTGGGATCGTTCTTATTTGTCTTCAAAAGTTTTACCGAACACATTATTAACCACTGTAGTGTATTCTGTAATTGTAATAAAAAAGTGCTTAAAAATGATGACGTTGCAAAGTTATGTTAACGTGAAAGTTATGATAGGCCTAAGTATTTATGGTTGTACATCTACAAAGAAAGGTTCTGTACACCAAACTGTAAACCAAATTGTTAGCTGGGATTCTACTTAATCTTTTACAATATTAGTTGAGATCGTTTACATTTCTTTGTGTGCACATCATGTCAACTACAAAAACAGACCCTGTGGTTGATATTATGGCAGGTACGTAGATGCCCGGGTGGTCTATGCATCATACATAATTATAAAGGTGGGCTTTGATTTATGCCGTTTGCAAAAAAAAAGGGGAAAAAAAGGAATCAATGAACCAAAGTGGGTACAGTTGTTTGTGATTGCTCAGTGTATGACACACATCCACACACACACATTTTATATTACTGACAGCGGCAAATGGTGGGCCTAGCCCACCCAACTTTGTTGTCGGTTGGCCACTCTTCCTAGGCATGTAGGCCTATCACCAGTTGGTCATTGTTTATTACGCGTGGTTTGACTTTACTTAAAATCTATGCATACGTACATTTTCTAATGAGCGATGGACGATAATGTTACTAAGAAGCTCATAGTGGACAATTAGTGCCAGAAAAAAAAAATCCTGAGGGCCCGCATAAATAATTGGCCTTAGATCGTTGAACAGAAGACAACCGTGATCTATCAGGACATTGGTGCACGGAAAGTTACAGAAAAATTACAATGGATGTCAGATAATGACATAATGATTAGCTTCTGGTGGGATTTCATTTGACGTATCGGTACTTCTTTTCGCATTCATACTTGATCAATACGTACATACTTTTTACCATTTAGTGGTTCAATATGTTCATTAGTTAAATCGTTCAAACAAACTTGAAGTTCCGGCGAATTTCGTACATGATGATTTCGGTTCGGGTCTGTTGTTGAACTACCATTTCCATTAGCTGATTTATTAGGTGATACGTATGCCATAACATTTGTAAGCGCCGTAAATTCTGAATTATCCCGGTCTCTGTAAAACGCTTTGCGACAGAGTAGACGTTTGAATCCACTACGAAACTCAGTATTAGTGGAGTAGATTAATGGATTGATGGAGCTATTTATCCAGCCAAGCCAGACAAAAATTGTATAAATGATGTCATCGATACAATTGTTGCAAAACGGCCGTATACAATTAACAACAAAAAATGGAAGCCAACAAAACACAAAGGCACCCATTATTGTTCCAAGTGTTTTTGCAGCTCGACGCTCACCGCGCGCGTGTTTTTGATGACGTGAAAGTTTAGTCTGAAGACGAATCTGCTTTTCTTGTCTCTGAGCTTCAAAGTAAATACGCGAATACAGACCAACCATGATAGCAGACGGAATATAAAAACTTATGCAAGACGATACAACAGAATAATATTTGTTCAAGGCGAAAATACATATTGGTGTAGGGCAATCGATTCCAGTTCCTCCTTCCCGGTGAATGCCAGTCAAAACTGGTACAAAAGATAACAGAGCAGATACTATCCACGCGCTCATTATCATAATTTTTGCACGTTTCTTTGTCATTTTACTCTGATATTGAAAAGGGTGCATTATGGCCCAATATCTATCTAAACTTATAACAAACAAATTCAAAATGGAAGCTGTCGACATCATTATGTCCAGGGCTGTGAATACATCACAAAATTTTCCAAACGGCCAATATCCTGCAGTGATCCCGACAGCGCTAAAGCTCATTACAAGTAGAGCAACAAGAACATCAGAAAAAGCTAACGACACAATGAAGTGATTAGTTATCCTTGAGCGTAGGTGGCGCCAGTTTAGTACTGATGCGATAACGAGGCAGTTCCCTAAAAAAGTTGCAAGAGTTATACACGCAAGTGCAATCCCAGCAGCCACCTGTGCGTCGGGCTCATCCAACAGGCAGATTTCACTCCCGTTTTTGTTAAAATTCGCTGTCGAAGTAGTTGTGCTTCCTGTTCCATTTAACACGTTTTTCGGAGCCAAGCTACCGCTGGGAGTTGGCAAAAATGAGCTGTTTATGGTACTGTATTCACCCAATATTACTGATCCGTAAGGTGGGGATACGCTAGTGCCGATGCCTAATATTGTCGTTGGATAAGGATGATACGCTACGGTTACTTTCGACATCTTAGAGAGTCTGGTGCTTCGCCTAAGACACACGATCCGTATGCGGTGATTTTTATGTCATTACTGCAAAAGACAAAATAGAACAATCGCCATTAGTTACACATTACATTTCTTTTAAACTATATATATATAAAC